AAAAAAAAAAAAAAGAAATGATGACACATGACTACCAGTGGTCCATGTGACAAGGATACAGGTTAGAAAACCTGCTTATGGCAGACTAGCCAAATAAAAAGGAGTATTGAAAGGACCACTGACAACCAGGAGCCTTCCTGCTGCCATGGCTGTATCTGGGGCACACAGCAAAGTGCCAGTAGCCCAGCATCTGTAGGCTGATTAATAGGGATTGTGAGCTCATCAGGGCCAAAGCCCAGGAGTCCATGCTTACCTATTTTGACCATCCAATACCAATTGGGGGCTTTATCCTCTCTTGTAAACATAGCCTACGATCAGGGTACCATGGTTAATACTGTCCTCCTTTAACTTAATCCCCAGTGTGGCAGTATTGAGATGAGGGGCCTTTAAGAGGTGATTGGATCATGGCTCTGCCCTCATAAATGTGTTATCAGCCTCCATAACTGCAATAAATAAGTTTCGTTTCTTTATAAATTACATAGTTTCAGGTATTCTGTTATAAGCAACAGAAAGTGGACTAACATATCATCATCAACAAACATTGACCAAACCAGTTGTGTGGGGTTGGGGGGGTTGGGAGGTTGGACCAAATCTAGCTTCATCTCTCTTTTGGCTCTGGATATTTTAACAAAATGGCCTGGCTTATATCAAGATGGTAGTCTGTGTTCATGATCTGAAACGTTCACTAGCAAATTTCCTCTAATCATCTGTGCTCAGGAAGCCAAAATTCCAACCAGATGTCCAGTAACCTAATTCACAGAAACAGAAGCAGGTGTACCATCAAATACAACCACTGAGACAGAGCAGCAGGGTCCTCTTGCATCCTTAAGTTGATCTGCAGCCCTTGTGAGGGTTTTCATGTAGCCACTGTCCCTGGCGTGTGTGTGCTTTCCATCCAGTGATAAGTGTTAGGCAGGTATGCAGTCTTAGGGATTAGGGAGGGTGAGAACAAACCTACTTTCTGCTCAGGAAGAAGAGGACAGACCCACACCCAAAGCCTTTCTCTCTCAACATTTCCTCCATTGCTAATCACAGTGGTAGAAACCTCATTGTCTTTATTTAATATCACCCAACTTAATATGTGAGACAAAATGATCCTACAAAATGAGAGCTTAATGTGTGTTATATAAAGCTGCACCCCCATCACTTCTCTTCCTCCAAAGAGACAAGACTCCCATGCCGGCAGGTGCTTAGAAACCACTTTGTCAGCTGCTGGGGAGAACTTGCCTCTGTCCTGACACCAACTGGGTTTCCTGCAATTCAATTCAGTTTTGACACGAACTACTCAGAGTTTGCATCGCATCCTCCACAAGGCTGTCCCTGCTCAGACACCAGCCAAAAGTCTCAGGGACCACTCACACTTCTACCTTTCTGGCTATAAAGATAAGGCCTCCCACTACCTCTCAGGTATTTTTGTGTGTGTGTGTGTGTGTTTGCATTTTTGTTTGTTTGTTTGTTGAGACAGAGTCACTCACTTTTGGTGTCATAGCTCACAGCAACCTCAAGCTCTTGGGCTCAAGGATCCTCTTGCCTCAGCCTCCTGAGGAACTGGGACTATGGGTGCCCACCACAAATCCTGGCTAATTTTTTATTTTATTTTATTTATTAATTTATTTTTGAGAGAGTCTCAAGCTGTCACCCTAGGTAGAGTGCTGTGACATCATAGCTCACAGCAACCTCCAACTCTTGGACTCAAGTGATCCTCTTGCCTCAGTTTTTCTATTATTCGTAGAGAGGGAGTCTCAATGTTTGCTCAGGCTGGTCTGAAACTTGTGAGCTCAGGCAATCCGCCCGCCTCGGCCTCCCAGAGTGCTAGGATTACAGGTGTGAGCCACCATGCTGGCCCCTCTTTTCTTCTCTTAAGCCCTCCGGTCTTGGTATTTAAGGTCCACTCAGATAATCCCAGATGGCCCCGTCTCAAAATCCTTAATTGCATGCACAAAGACCCCTTTTACAAATAAGGTCACATTTACAGGTCCCCAAGGAAAGATGGGGGAGGGGTGCATTCAAACTGCAACAGATATCACTGAGGGGGGAATTTAACTCTCAGAGACAATAATGTTCTATGGCCCCAGGAAACTAAAGCCACCCCTTACATTCTTTCAGGTTTTCCTCAGCTAAGTGACAGTCCATCAGGAAATGTTTCTTTTCAGTCAAGAATCCAGGGTGGTAAAACTGAGGACTGCTGAGTTGTCTGAAGCCCTCACTTGACCATCAGGGGCAGGTTGGTTCCACATTTTATCTGAGGTCACAGACTCAGAGGGTGGGTTTATGCTGAGTTTTCTGCTGGACAGTTCTGTTGATCCAGCTGTCACCTGGTCAAG